AAGGAGGGAGGGAGAGAGAGAGAATGAGCTGGGGAACCAGGTATGGGGGCACACGCCTGTAATCCCAGCACTGTAGAAGGTAGAGGTGGGAGGGTACTAACTTCAAGGAAAGCCTGGGCTACAATGTAAATTTCAACCCAGCCTGGGCTACACAGAGAGACCTATTGGGGGGGGGAATGGGTGAGAGAGAAAAGGACAGCAGAGCTGCAGTCTACCTGAAATGCAGTTCAATCTGAATGGAGCCCTGGGTGGCGCAGCTGCTCTTGGAGGGCTGAAAGATACAGTTGAACACATTGGTCATGCCGGGGCTGGGCTTCTGCCCAGAATAGCGGGTGTCAAATGCCATCATAGAGTGGGAAACCAAGTTAATGGACTTGGTCTGGTTGGAAAAACTCTCATAGAGCAGCTTACATTTCTTAAAGTCAAATCTGAAAGGGAAAAAAGCAAAGGAGAAGTTAAACACAATCCTACCTTGCAAAACTAAGTTCACGTGTGGAACAAGCGTGCTGTCAGCAATGTACCAGAGTACCTTTCAATATGAGACACTGCATCGGTTTTGTTCACAGGCACTCAAAATGCAGTTAGTGTACTGTGCTTTAAGTCTTTTCCATTTGCAGAGGGGTGATTATATCCACAGGAATGCATGAGGAATGACAATATACTCAATCTATTTATTATATCTTTGATGCTTTATGGTCCCATGTCCCATGCTACGCTAAGAAAGCCATGTGTTAAATCATAACCCCCAATGGATATCTAGGGTCTCTTTTGACCTCCATCTGTGAAATTATACCTTGCCTGAGGCTTCTCTTCCCACAGCCAGCCTGCACACCTGTGTGAGACACCATAGCTCCCACAGCCAGCCTGCACACCTGTGTGAGACACCATAGCTCCCAGAGTCAGCCTGCACACCTGTGTAAGACCACAGCTCACTAGAAGCAACCAGAACTCATCCTACTCTGCACACAAGGAAGTAAGTCAGCTGACCCAGAAATGCATCCAAACCCACTTCCTTTCTGGAAAAAGAGAAAGCTGCATAAAGCAATTAGTAGTTGTTCGGTAACATGAATGATGATGATAAACACAGAATCAGAATCATTGAAAAACTAAAGTTAAAAAAAAAAAAAAAAAAAAAAAAAAACA